AGGTTTCCTTTCATGTGTTGAAAGGTCAAGTAAATGCTACAATATACCGAGAAATTAGTTACTCTTAGAATGCATATTTGGTGAAAGTTCTCATTCCAGCAGGTGTGACACGTGCAGCTCTGACTGCTTCTGCTGGGATTGATCCCAGCTGCTCGCAGGCTCAGAGCACGCTCAGTGCACACTCTAGAGAGCAGCTAGCTTCTCCTCAAGACCAGGTCCTCTGTTGCTGGACAATTCTACATATCTTTAAGTAGTAGTTTTAAGTGGACAATGTCACTTCTGTAACTCGCTCAGTACGCTGAGCCCTGTTACACAGGACAATGATCCTAACAGTTACTCTACAGTCTGCAGTGGAGTGTCTTAAAAAAGAAAAGATTATTGTCAAGGCCCATTAACCCCATCGTGGGCTTCAATCCCATTGACATGTGGATGGCTTCAAGGCTGCCTTTGTCAAGAGGAGACCCGAGGCTAGGCAGTCCTCAAAGCTGTGTGTGCGTTGAAGAATGGGAAAATAATATGTCTTGAAAGATGTCGGGAACAGATTTCAACATTCTGTAAAAGAAAGGGCAAGCAATGGTGCCCAAATATTTTTTGTCAAAATATGCGATATGTTTTGGCATGTTAAAAGCGTTTGCATTTTTTTTCTGCTGTTGCTGTGGTTGCCTGAGAGTATTTGTCTTATGTACAGTTTCATACATACCGTACATACGCATTCATAAATACTTCAATGCTTCCCAGAGGAACTTAACAGAAATAAAAAATAAGATCAAAAGTCAGAAATCCTGCTGAAACACACTGTCAATCTGACGTGTATGTGCAGTACTTTTCTTGCTGTGAATTCCACAAATTACGGTGTGCCAGTGCTGGAATTCATACTTTATCCTTTATTACTGACAAGAGACAGGGAGAGGAAATGAAGAGCTCAGTTTAGATAACAAGTCCAACTGATCACAGGAAATACCAAGAAAATGCCTTAGCCTCCAACATCTCCCACTTGAGAAAAACCGCATAGCAAAGCGACCTAAAAACTGGGCTTAATCTCCCATATACTCCCTCCCCTTTGCCCCTGGACTGAATGCTAGGCACATTAATCACCCTCCACGGTCATTAGAACTAAGCTGTTGATTGCTTTCCACTGTGATTACGAACTCTTTTCCACTGCAGACATAGCGAATGGAGATGTGTCATGTAGCCGGAAGATGAATTCAGCACCCCCTACATGCACAATCACACACTCCCATTCATCAGATCACTCAGCCTCAATTAGGTTTGTTGCTTAGCTAATTTCCCAGGGTAAGCGCCTGCACCAGTTAATGAAAGTGCCTTGCTGGGACTAAATCTATCCCCTCTGCTCAAGGAAATGGCTATGAAGTGTTTGACTGGGCACAGGGGGAATGTACTGCATACCCAGACCCTTTGTCATAGCACGAAGCAGACAATCGCCTCAAGTGATCCTTCACATTTACAGCCCTGACCTGGGCAGCTCTTCCCACACCACCTCTACAACCACAAACCACGGAAAAAAACACAAGCCAAGCACACAGTCTTCTCTATTGTGAGAATACAGAGAATCCGTATCTATACAGTATCACCGTATCACAGTCAATACTCAGTTATTAACAATGGACAGTACCTGAAGTGGAACTAGAACAAATCTTAAAACACTTAATACTTAATCTTAATAATCTTAATACTTAATAATCTTAGTAATCTTAATACTACAGTATATGTAAATATTACAGTAAGTATACAGACGTGGAATAACCTTTGGTTTTGATGACATAAAGATAATCCAAAACAATATGAAAACCCACAAAAGCCAGCTTGAAGAGGACCCAGAAGTGCAAGTAGCCAAGTTTATCACATACGTTTAAAACAGAAAGATCAAAAGGTCTCTAAAGGGACAGCAATGCCTATTCCAGAACCACAAAGTGCACCAGGCCAGGGCTCCTCCTGGTTTTTACAGTGTTAAGTGTGCTATAGAGCAAGTCACTCCCCCTGGATGGGATACTAAAAAAGTGAAAAGCTCCATGAAAAAAGGCAAGCTGTTTTTAAAAACTGGCACACAAAAGAATCCAGTTATCCCCAAGATCAGCAAGTCACATCAGTATTGTATGTTTTTTTTAGATAAATTGCTGTTATAGTCAAGGCTGTGCTGCTGAATTGTATTGTGGAAACCAAATCAAAGTGTTTTTTCTTGACTGAAATGTGCCTTATTACAGCACATGGTCAATGATTTTACCAGTTCCCTTCATTCCAAGTAAAATGAGCTTAAACAGCAATTTAGGTGTAACCCTGATGTGACAAAAGCCAGGCAACACTTGACTAAATTACACTGCTGAGACTTTTTCCAGTTTAAATCAACTGAGCCGCATACAACCGATACCTGGCAGCACTGCAAGAGAGCGATGAATCTCTTCAGTGACTTGACTGGATTATTATTGGGATATGAGAGCATGAAGACTGCAGACCGCCTTGGGTGCCAAGTAAGAAAACTCCAACCAACAAATACCTTAAACCACAACCAGGATACAGCGCAGGTCCCAGGCTGCACCCTGTGCCAGACAGGGAAATGTATGTATATATATGCAAGAGATGTAATGTAACGCAAAGGGGAATAGGAAAAAGAATTAACAAGCAGTCAAAACAAGCTGGAATGGAAAATTTAGCCGGCTCGGTCAAGATCTCCTCAGTAAATCTGACAGATTGGATAAGACTGATTGTGTAATATAAGCATGCATTGAAGGAAATGGCAGTTTGAGAACAGAAACCTTCAACATTTGAATACTGCTTTGGGATTTTGCAGATTTGACAAAGTGTTTCCAGAGGAGAGGTCACAGGGGAGAATGCTAGAAGTCTCAAGAGCTGTGCCTGGGGGATACGACAGGCAGAGATAAGAAGTAGCACAATGCATTTCACAGCCTCTTGTATGGCGGGATTAGAAAGTCAAAGCTGCAGTTCACTGTCACCACAAATAAGCCTTTCCTCCTTCCAAACATGAGGCACTAGATGATCACAGCACAGGGGTTGGGAAGGGCTGAAAAGCCTGTTTTTTGGTCCATTTTAGAACATGAGAAAGGTTACAAACAAGAGAAGGTTGTTATTAGCTCATTGATCTAAGGATCTCCTCCAGCTGTTCCACACTCCCACCACCTTTTGGGTAAAGAGGTGCCACCTGTTCTCTCTGATTCATGTTTCACTGTTTATTTTGAAAAGTCCACTGGGTTGACTATGTCGATGCCTTTGAGCACTTTAAAAACTTGAAGTATGGTGACCAAAATTGTACACAATATTCTAAAGAAGGCCTTACTAGAACATTATACAATTGTAAGCTGACATCCCCTGATCTCACTGACTATGCATCCTAACAAATTCTTTGCCTTTTGACCTGCTTCCCCGCATTGACTGCAAGGCGCAATGCAATGTGTCAACATAAACAACAAACTGGAATGTGTCACAGCATCCCTCCAGCGTCGGACACTCTGAAACAGGGAGAGAGGGACACGCATTGTGCTCCAGCCTGGGCATCCCGTTCAGAGCTAATTACAGCCCCAGCCATCTCTGAAAGGGTGGGGCCTTGTGTACTTCAAAGTAAAACTATGAGTAATGCATTGTTGAAAACGTTTGTCTAAATAAAGCTCACAAAAAAATTTACACTTTTTGCTTTGGCTTTTCTTTTTTGGCCCATCCCCGAGGCTCCGAGTAAACCCTGCGAGGGCTGCCGATCAGAAAGCGTTCCAGGCACAGGCAGGTGGGCGGGGAGGAGGAAGAGGAGCACAAGGACATTTTTAATTTAAAAAAGGGATTGAATTTACTGGTCCGATTTCCAAATTCTGGTTTGCAACGAGGTTCCAAGAGCCTGACTGCATTATGCATTTGAAATTAAAGGAGAACAAGAGTACAGTTAATGTGGCAAAATACATCCAGCATTTCAAGTCATTTCATGCTGTCTGTGGGAAACTAAGGGGAGGGAACAATGAAGAGTGCAGAGTAAAAAAGTTCTTTATAGTCTAAAATGTATTTTTTGTCTTTTCCATGTTTCAGCAGCCATATCACTCGCAGCTCACAACAGGCAGCTCACTGAAGCTCAGCTCAGCTGTGAGCCTGGTCCGTACCTGGATGGGGGACCTCCTGGGAAAAACTAAGGTTGCTGCTGGAACAGGTGTTAGTGGGGCCAGCAGGGGGCACTCACCCTGCGGTCCATGTGGGTCCTAATGCCTCAGTATAGTGACGGGGACACTATGCTGTAAAAAGGCACCGTCCTTCAGATGAGATGTTAAACCGAAGTCCTGACTCTCTGTGGTCATTAAAAATCCCTGGGTGAAGGGGTGTAACCCCGGTGTGCTGGCCATATTTCTCATTGGCCCATACCAGTCATGACCTCCTAATAATCCCCCATCTAATTGGCATCATTACTCTGTTTTCCTAAAATAATTATAGGAGAACATTATTATTATTATTATTTGTTCATCTGTTGGTGTACAGAGGGGGTTTCTTCTTTAGTGTCACCTTACTGTTGACAAGGACATTTGCTCTTAGAGAAAACTGGAGCTGTATGGTACAACACAGCAAAGCACGGGCTGTGGTCTGAAATACTCAAAGCCTGAACCCCCACCTGCACATGCCTCTGTTATTCCTTGCTTAGACAGGCCAGCACTAACAGCAATGTTTTATTTCTGTCGTAACGGCAATTGTGCTGCCCAACTCTGCGTGTCTTTCAGCCAGTAAAAACAGTGCCGTGCGTCACCTGGTGTGGTGTGTTCCCTTGACTCAGCATTTCACCGCAGCAAAGTGTCCAAGACTGGTACCTCAACAGCTAGACAGCTAGGCAAAAATCCTTTTTATGACAAATTAAACTTTGTTTAGGCAGTCTGAACACATGGCAGCAATCTCGGTGAAGTACTTTAATAGTCTTGAGATCAAAAAAGGAAATTTGGGTCAACTAAGCATACGGTAAGAACAGAATCTATCTTAGCTTCATTAGTATTCAGTCCACTCACCTGTCAGCCACTGGCTTGGCAATGTTCTCAAAAATATCCTCCTGTTTGGCTCCTTGATCAAAGACTTTCTGAAACCTGTCAAAGCAGCACCATAAACACAGAGCTCAGGATGCAGACCACAGCAATCACTGTCTGCTACACTGGAGGCGCACTGGCCAACACGGGCTTCCTCAGGAACATGTGTGGATTAAGAAGCAATTTGACTGATACATTTTCTATTTGAAAACCCCTTCAGGTATTGACAAAGTTAACATACTTCATGTCTTTTCATTGCAGTGCACTAAAAGCTAGTACTACTTTACTACTGTTTTGATTTACATAAAGAAACCTTGGAAAACCAACACTGTTTATTACATTCTGTGAAAATGCATGATTAACAGGTTATTAGATACTGAGTATATACATATACATACAGAACTGAAGCAGCAGTTTGGGACAGTGTACCCGGGGGAGAAAGTCAGCTTTTTGGATCTGAACCCATCTGCGAACATGAAGTCCACTCGCTCACCTGAACCTGTAGCTCTCCTTTTTGTTGTTGATGAAGCCATCTGCAAGGTCTCGAGGAACCAGGAACTCCACGCTAGAGCTGCCATGTTCATCATGGTCCACTGAGTATACCTGGTAAACACATGCCAATCACCAGATGCTGCAGACATGGACCCTGTGTAGTGATGACTTCATTTTTGCTGTGAGGTTCCCTAACTTCTTTGTCCACTACAGGCCAAGGGGGGAGCCAGAGCCTATCCCAGCAAACCCTGGGCACCAAGCAGGGTACACCAGGCCATAACAGACACACACACACTCACACCAGAGCCAATTTTCCCAGAAGTCAATTAACCCACTAGTGTGTCTTTGGACCGTGGGAGGAAACCAACACAAACATGGGGAGAACATACAAACTCCAGCGGGCCCCAGCGCTGTGAGACAGCATTGCTTACCAAAGTGCCACCATGCCACCTCCTGAGGACCCCTTTTACTGTAATTACTAATAACTTAACTGAAATAATATGATCTAATTCTCCAAGTTTGGTGCTGAAGTCTAGCCCTTGAGAACGGGAGGGAACCTCCGGGCCTACAGATCCTGTGGCCCAAAGCAAGCTCAGCCCAGGGAAGGATCAGCCCTGATTGCACCACATTCAGTTAACATGAACCACAGAAAGCGATATTGACACCCTCCATGAAATTCAATAACATTTCCAATTGTAAGTCCACTTGGGCAATAAATGCTGATTTACAAGGTCTGTGATGGGGGCGGAAAAGTTTTTGGACCTTAGCCCAGTTAATTTCCACTGCTGTGTCCAATCAAACCGTGTTTGATCGAACAGAACAAGTCTGCAAAACAGAGACGGGTCTCCAGTACAGAACCATTTAAACAGCTGTCAGAAAGAGTGGCACAGATCATAAAGATATTCCCCAGTCTCACACTACAAAATCATCACGATCTGCCAAGACATCCAGAATCTGTAGGAAAGCCAAAGCATTCTGAAACAGTCATAAAAGACATCCAGGGAGTGTCAGACTGTATATTATTGTGATGAACACTCTGCATTGTATTGCTGCAAGGTTTTTTTTCCGATTCTTTTTTTACTCAAGAGATGAATGGCAGACCATTCTAACAGTTTGGCTAAACAAATAACCGTTCGACTGATTAATGGAATTAAAGAGTACCAGATGCTCAAGTTTATCTAACGTCTCCTTTACACCTAATACAGGGAGAATTTACAAATTCCTCCACCAAATTCCATGTCTCCCGCTGGGAAGTACAAAATTGCTCTGTAAAACTCCGACCTGTGAAGTCTGAAACAAGGAACTGCAGGGAGAAGGAATGAGACAGGTCTGCCCCAGGTGGACATAGGAGATACAGCTCTGAGTAGAATTGCATGTATTACAAATCCAATGGCTGGAATAGTCACATACTTGGCATTTCAATCCATCCTCCTGCAGGGATCTTTTACATGTGTAAAAATCATCAGCATTGTGAAAGAGATGATAATACCAGCACAGAAGAAAGGGACCTGCTGAATATTGCCCAGTACGACATCACTTAGTTGAATGAAGAGGCTAAAGCAGGGTCTCGATCCCTTATCTCTTTTTCATTTTAAGCCATGCCAGAATTCTAGGCATTTAGCTCCTAAAAACATGCAGATTTCAGTTTAAGTACAAGTTTTTTTAGATGTAACATGACACATGACTTTATGAGAGATAAAAATGATAAAAAGCACCTCAATTAGACAGAGGTACAATTAATTGTCCCAGAAGACTGGGACAATTAAGTGAAGTTTTTGCTGTATACTAATCAAATTTTTATTCCGGATTAAATGATTAATATGAGACAAAATTAAAGAATTTCAGGTTTTGTTTCTGGGTATTATTTTACATGTGTTTAACCATGTTAGAACAATGCCATTTGTTGTGTTGAATCCTCCCTTTTCAGATGAGCATTAGTATGGGGACAAATGGCTGACAGGTGATTCTAACTGCTCTGGTGGTCCATGTTGCATTCATTGTGAAAAGAGCTGTGAATGTACAGCCATGTTTCCTTCCGACTTTAATTTTTGGGTCTACCTCTTGAGTTAGAAGACATAAACTAAGATGAAGAATACATAGTTATTCTATGACAGAAAAGCAAGCAATTGTGAATGTGAGTAAAGAAACATCCCATTAGAGCCATTCCAGAGAGATTGGGCATCTCACTATCAATAATATGGCACTTCTTCAAAAAGAGAGAAACTACTGGAGGAGTAAGCCATCTGCAAAGAACAGCTGATCATTTCCAGAAAAATCATGAGAGCTTTGAAAAAACATGAAAAAGGTAACAGCCATAAACATTGCAGACAATCTCCAGAGTGCAGCGGTGAAGGTATCTCAGTTCAAAGTGTGCAGAAAACCCCCACAGGAGCATTACAGGGGCTATAGTGCAAGCTGCAAACCTCTCACCAGCACTAAAAACAGAAAGGCAGGTTAGAATTTGCAAAGACGAACAAAGATGAGCCAGAACCGTTCTGGAACAAAGTCTGATGGGCTGGAGAGAAGAAATTAAATCTTTATCAAAGTGATGGAACGGCAAAAGGGTGGAGAAAGAAAGGAAGTGCAAATGATCCTAAGCCCACTTCCTCATCTGGGAAGCATGGTGGAGGTAGTGTCATGGCTGCCTCTCCTGATTTAAATCCTTTTGAGCTGCATATTACTTGTTGAAGAGGAAACAAAAGTCAGAAAATCCCACAAACAAGCAACAGCTGAAAGTGGCTACATTTAAGGTTTGGCAAAGCACCTCAAAGGAAAATATCTGGTGACGATGGTGCGCAGTCTTGAAGCATTCATTGCATGTAAGGGTTATGCCACCAAACACTTCACACTAGTTTAATTTACTTTGTTAATTTGTCCGAATACTTATCCTAATCTAAAACTGGGGGGGGGGGTGTTGAACACAAACATTGGTTTTGAGATGTTTTAATATGTACAGTACGCACAAAGATATCCAGAAATAAAAGCAGACATTCTGTACTGTACTTCTGCTTCATTTATCTTTTAATCTGAAATATAAATTTCATCAGTACACTGCAAAAACGGCAAATTTAATTTCTGTACCACTACTTATGCTTTTCACTGTATTTGGGGAAAAGCTTAAACATTGCTCCATTGACAAGAACTGTCATTCCACTTTTATTGTGTACAATAGGACATTTACACACTAAGTTACTTCTGCCTTTAAAATTTAAGTTAAATGTTAGTACTCTTATTCCATATTTTTCGGTATTCCTATTGTAATTATACTGTAAAGTTAGGGATATTGTTTCCATTTTTCTTTCTGGTCTTTGGCCTCTTAATAATCCTCATCATTGAACTGGATTCATCACTCTGTTCTCCCCACTGATAGCTGGTGTGTGGGGAGTGTACTGGTGCACTGTGGCTGCTGTCACATCTTCCAGGTTGGGCTGCACATTAGCGGAGGGGAGTCCCCATTACCTGTAAAGTATGTTGAATGGAGTGTCCAGAAAAGAGCTATATAAGTGCGTAAGGAAATTACTACTAATAATAATACAGTCTATGTCCTACTTCTTTTGTTGCAGACGACTGACATTATATTTTGTCATTTATTACACTGTCCCTGACTTAACCTGTGCCGTTTTATCGTATTTACACCATGTCAGAAGAGCTCATCCGGCAAATAACACTAGACTTTTGTTTCTGTAATGAGGAATGACGTGCACTTTCAAAACTTTGTATTTATTTTTATGTACACAGCTATTTGAGCTGGGCCATTGAAAATGAATTCGAAACGAGCTCAGTTCGGGACAGGAACGTTTATACATTGCTAAAGACAACAAAAGACGTTCCTTCGGCTAGGAACATCTGGCCTTGCAGGCTGATGCTGTGAAAATGCTCTGCGCTAGTTCGGGAAAGTATCCTGCGGTCACTGACCGGCGGTACAGCTCAGCGCCCTCGCCTCACTCACCGCGGTGCTTCTCTTCGCAGGCTTGACTCGGGCGAAGATCTGAATAGTCTGCTTAACCATCTTCCTTATCCTAGAAAAAGGGTCTGCCTTTGGCTAGATATGTTGAACAGGAAGTTTTAACTTGTCCCTTAAGACGACAATGGCGGCACCAGAAACACAACGAAGACGCCGCACTTCCCCTATCAGCCCCCAATACCCTCCGGTAGTTTGTTTCCAACAGTTGCCATGTGAACGGAGACGCTCCCGATCGGAGAGGTGGGGGGTGGAGTCTGATTGGTCCCGATTTGGGCGCATGACCTGCGGAAGTAGAGCCACGGAGTGCTTTGATTGGTCTCAATTGTTGGGGACCTAAAGGCGGGGTTAGGTCGGGTCAGCGAACCCGGTCAACCTTGCTTTTTCACGTGCGTGCATATACAGACGAGATCTGTGTTCATTAAAACACAGGGATGAGCTCTGTTGTTTGAACATAGCATATTAGAGGTTAATCTATTTATTTATGAACCGTAAAAAGAACAGAAGGGCGGCGCGGTAGCACGAAGGCTAACATTACTGCCTCACAGTCTGAATCCCTGGGTTCAATTCTTGGGATGCTATCTGCGTGGGGTCTGTGTATTCCACATTTTTTCCTCCAGCTGCACCAGTTACTTCCCACAATCCAAAGATATACTGGTAGGTTAATTGGTTTCTGGGAAAATTAACCCTGGTGTGAACATGTGAGTTTGTGTCTGTGTGTGTCTTGCAATGGACTGGCATCGCATCCAGGGTGTATCCTGCCTTGCACCCGTTGCTTGCCAGGATAAGCTCCACCTCCCCTGTGACTCTGTATTGGATAAAGCTGTTTCTTAAAATAATTGCTTTAAAAACAACATGGCCTGACAGCTTGTTGCACACTCACGCAACCCTTTGTGTAAAGAAGTGCCTCCTGTCCTGACTGGGAGACCTCATCCAGCCGATTCTTAAAAGAAACTAGGGTATCGGCTTCAACAAATTAACTGGACAGCTTGTTCCACACCCCCAGCACCCTTTGTGTAAAAAGCAGCACCTCATGTTCCTGGGGTTTATTAACACTTCTATGCAGATTCCACTTGGTGTCCTCTGCTTCGTGTTGTAACCAAATAAGATGGACCCAACGGCCTCGTCTCATTTGCGTCTTCAGATCCACAGTAGTTCAGGTGGGTAGCTGTGTCAGCATGCGTAGGCTGCAAAGGAACAAGTAATAGGTTTATTCCATGCTGGAAAAAAAAGAAGAAAGAACTGAGCCCTTTGCTGAGGAGGGATCGCTCATCCTGTGAAAGGGAAAGGTCAGAAGGTATGGTGTCAACAAGGTTAGGGTTGGTTAGGGTTGGTGAGGGTGTTCGGGGTGTTGATGGTTTTCTTCTGTAGAAGATGACTGAGTTTCTTGTCCTTCTCTGTAGCAAGAAACTGGTAGAGTTTAGAGTTGAGAGATCTAATGAGGTTAGTTATGAAGGGAAGATGATGTCGAGCTGTCAGCCGTAGAAATTCCTTAGCCTCTTTGATGTTGTTGTCGGAAAGGATAATCTGTTTTTTGAGGGAGAAAATGGTAGAGAGCATTAGTTTCCTAGAAAATTGTTTTAGAAGTCTCTGAGTGTTACTCTGGGTGGTATCAGAGTCAAAAGAAAAGGTATTAAATTTAATTCAGATCCACAGTACGCACTTAATGTACAGTATGAACAAGGAACAGCTAATGCGTTTAATCTAACATCTTAAGAAACGAAACAAGGGGCCAGAAACAAAAGTTAGGAGGCACGTCTCTACAGTACATATACAGCGGCAGGGGGTGAAACGAGCTGCCAGCGACGTAGAAGGTGAATCCTATCAAGCCATTGATCACCTGTGAATATCTAAAAAAATGAGACGTCTTTTTATGACGTGAAAAGGCTCGGGAAACGTTTGTTTGACCAAAACCTCGGTTGTTTTCCTCAATGTAACTTTTTGGAGAGACGTAAAAGTGTCTTTAAGGTTAGTTTTTAATAAAATATGGATTAAGAGAAGCTGCGAGACCACAAAACCAGACCCGGAACCAGAAGGAGAGAAAATTCACGCTGCATGATTTGTAAGAAAATCAATACAAAAGATCTAATAATACTCACGATGTCATGCCATTATTATTAGTAGTGGTAGTAATAGTAGTTGTAAAATGTAGATCTACTTTTTGGGTGTTAGATTTGATCATGTTTTGTTTTATTTCTACAAGGGATAAAACAGTAAACGTTCTTAAAATAAGTAAACATTTTGGTTTTATCAATAAATCCGAAATCAATCGTGCATATTGCCCTACAAAACCCGGTTGTTGAAACGAATTTTAATTGGTTCCAGCGGTAAAAGCAGCAGTCGAAAACGGTCTGTTTGAGCCCCATCTACTGGTGTTTATGCAGTATAGCAATGGTTTGACTCGGACAACCAGTTTCAATCTGTATCTTGAAAACGTTTCTAAAACTTATAATGGTAGTGGAAATGGTACCCCTTTTATTGTCGTTACATCAGTCAGAATACTATGATAAAATGAGAAATGGCTTTTTATCCATATTCAAAAGTCACATTGTATGAACAAAGGAATGGGCAATTGAAAATGTTAAGCAATGTATAAGACCTAGATATTAAACTTTCAGTCTTTACATAACACAGAGTTATTACAGTCCTCCCATTCCTGTTGTGGTCTATGCATTTTATGGGATGAGATATCTGTATAGGATACAAATCTCACAATCTGCCTCAAGTGTGAAGGGGGAAGTTTATACTCTGGACTCTCCTTCTCCCTCACTCAGTGCCATAAATATCTGCTTCTTGCTGATGTCACAAGAAGGGCAGAGAGAGAGAGGGTGGGAGGGGAGAGTGAGGACTGGGAGGCTTAGCAGGCTGTGGTTCAGCTCTGCACAGCACACTGGTCACTGGATTACTGCGGCACAGTCCGGGAGAGAGCCAGCACTGGGAATACCCTGTGTGGAAAGGGATCCTGGGGTCGGAATTGGAGTCCTGCCTGAACCTTCAGCTCTGGGACAGCCAAGGAGAAACAGAGGGGGAAGAAGTGCTCTATCCAAGGGTCTGTTTCAAAAGGTACCGTCCTTTCTAATCCTCTCGTTCATTTCCTAGAGCAAAAGAGAGAGATTCGTCAGTCAGTTTCAAAGTATTCAGTCGCGAAGTCCAGGAAATGAACTTGAACTGTACATTATTTCCAATCATTATTTATTTTCTCATGTTAACTTCAAAGTGCTTCTGCCCTAGATGTTGCTTATTGTAGCTCCCCAGATGGCAGCTACGATAAGCAAGGATATACTACAGCCTGTCTGAATTTGTGTCTCACGCACACAACGCATGTACAGTAAGCCTTCATGAGTCGCAGAGACATGATCATTCCTTCAGTCTGAAGCGCTTGAACTACGGATCCTTTTTTCTACCAGCACCAGGGCAGCAGGTTGAGTGGGAGCGGAGGGGTTGTGTGTATGTTCTGATACGCTACCCTTTCCGAGAGTCAAGATTTAAAGCTCTGCAGCCAGTCTGCAGCTGTGCAGAGGACAGGATAGTGCAGAGATCTTGAGGGATGCCCGCTGGCTGTAGGAGAGAAGAGAGAGGATAGAGGAGAGACAAGTGAGAATATATCGTAGGACTGGGATCATCAGCACAGTCACACTTTAGCCAGTGTGACCTGCCTGTTGTAGAATCTTCAGGGTTCATCTCAGGCTGCTGTGTCGAGGCAAATTCCAAGTTTTAAAGCTGCATCCTCAGCGGGGTGTGTTCTTAGGCTTGTTGTGATTCTGGAACCGAGCAAGAACAAGAAGTGCAATACAGGTTTCTTTGCTTTTGTTTTACTGAAATGGGACTGCAAGAAAAAACAACAACAACAACAACAACTGTGCATTTTAGCACTGTTTAAACTGAGCCTTGCAAGGTACCAGCAAACCAGAGAGCTGTGCCTCTCGTGAACAAGAGTTTATCCACTTAAAAAGCAAGCAGAGGCCCGACGCCTGCAGTCAATGGCGCCAATAGTTGGCAGTACGCTGGCTTTCCACAGGTGGGACAATGATTCCTTATACTGTACAATGTCATGGGCAAGCTGCAAGCAAGAAGCAGATGTTAATTCTGCTCTGAAAAGTAGGAATAACAAGAAAAACTCCACATTTTGGCTTTGGATCCTTCCTTATACTCCTGACAACGACCTCGCATCCAAAACACTTTGTGTTTTATTGTTTCTTTTCAGTTTTCAGAATGGAGTCAACCTCTGCTACTTACTTACTGTATCAATGAAAAAAAAGTCACAGTTAATTTGCAGGGGCAGTATGTTATCAGTTTCAAGCAACACTATGTTATATTTACCAGGCGTATGAAACACACTGAGCCATGCTCTTAAAGTATGATGTGCCACGCCAAGATGAGAGACTAAAGGAAAAATAAACCCTCGCTGTTCCAAAGCTGCAGATAAAAAGGCTAACACGCCTGTTGGGACTTTAAAGTTAGCATTCAGAAATATTTCTGTGCTGCCCTCCCATTGGGTCTTCGGAATCCAGCAGGTGAAAACACAGCAGAGGAAGCAATATCATGAGCGCAGGCTGTTGTCCCTAAAGGTGTGTAGGCCAAATAAGAGAAAACATGTCTTTAAATGGATTGCATCATAATAAGATTGTGAACTTGGAAACAGTCCTGACAGCCTTCAAATCAAGTGTTTACGAGTTCTAAACAGAAACAGCGTTTCCAGCAAAACACCATTTTCCAGACGCACTGTGAATCCCACCAGACCTACAGCACAGTGACCGCAGGCAGTGTCTGCTGCTGGTTAATTTGAGTTTGACAATTAGGTAAATAGGTACTTGTAAGGCAAACCCCAACGCAATTGAAGCAGCATCATGCTGAGCCCCTGTGCTCAGGGTCAGCAGGTGTGCTGGGCTGTGCTTGTCTGGCTTTGTGGGATCAATCCCATAAATAAATGCTCTGTGCTGGTTCAGCCGACATGATCTCAGTTCACTGCAAGGTGCATCAGTGGGATTCCTCATGTAACCTTAAGAAAAGCCTCATTATGTCTTTGTTCATGTATTTATCGTGTGTTCAAGATAAAAGGATAAGAACCTTTACCAGCTTGTTTCCTAAAAATTACTAACTGATTCTCAAATAAGATTGAGTTAAAAAATACAGCCCCAGATCTGTAGTTGGAAATGTGGCAGAGAGACTTTTCCACTTGCATACCTATTAATACTGTTTGTACCCAGCAACTATTTTTACAGGACATAGTGACTGGAACAGCATAGGCAGCATGATGACCTTTCGTGCACTGGCGTGCTGTGCATTGGTGCCTGCAGCCCTTACTCTCTCAGCTCTGCTGGCAGCACGTGCCCTTTGACCCTGACTGCCCAGACTCTCATGTGCTTTCTATATAGAGTGGTGGTTGCTGAGCTGCTACTCCAGCAGCTTCCAGTGCCATTGAAATCAGAAGGGCAGCAGGTAAACTTGCCAGATGCACGACATGAAACGATAAAGTTACTACATAGCAAGGAAATGTGTGGCACGGGGACGCAGTGGTTGGGTCTGCTACATCGCAAGCCCTGGGTTCAATTCCTGGGGCGCTACCTGCGTGGAGTTCCTCTGTTCTCCCCGTGTTAATGTGGGGTTCCTTGAGGAGCTCTGCTTTCCTCCCACAGTCCAAAGACACACTGGTAGGTTAATTGGCTTCTGGGAAAACTGGTTCTGGCGTGAGTGTTTGTGTCTGGGTGTGCCTTGCGATGGACTGGCATCCCATCCAAGATCTATCCTGTCTTGTGCCTTTTCTTTGCCAGGATAGGCTCTGTTTAGCAGGTCTTCTGATATTAAAGGCTCCCCCGCAACCCTATACTGGTTAGAAGGCAGTTAAAAATTGGATAGATGAGTATTAATGCAATGATATGAAAATCTCACCTTGAGCTACCTGCTGGGAGCTACCATACAGTATTTTAGATTCAGCTGTCATGCGGAACCTGTCAGTACTGGGATGGGAGACCTCTAAGAAAAAACAGGTTGCTACCAAATGTGGTGTTTGTGGACATATAGATGGCACTTTCCTCTGGACTGAAGCTCCCAAACCACTATCCTAATATAGTGATGGGGGCACTGTGCTGTGGGAGGTGGTGTCCTCTGGAAGAGAGTAAAAAACTAAGGTCCTGAATGCTTTGCCATTTCCTTTCATCTAGCATTGCAGGTAAGAGTAGCTGAAATGGCTAAATGACAGGCAGAATTCCACTCTGGACTTGGACCTAAAGTTCCTCTATTAATTCAGTTCGGTTTTTCTCTCGATCTGATCTCCTGTGAAATGGTGCCGTTGGTGCATCATGGGTCCATCATTACCAACACAGTAAAAGTAATAGACAGGTGGTCCCCTTACAGTTACTGTAGCCAGATTAAGGGTCTGGATGCATAACAGGAAGGATCTGGGTTCAAATCCGTTGGGGCTCTGCTGTTGTACCCCTTGAGCAAGATGGTTAAAGGGGTACTACAGACCCAGTTTGTCAGACCAGTCATTATATCTCGATAAAAAAATAAATTCATTGACGGTACAGAAACGTTTTACAAATTTTGAATTAAACACAAAACCGTGAACTTTGTGAAAGTACTCCAAGTTGCCAAGCTGTTGCAAACCCCTGGTCTCGCGACGGGCAAGAGCAAGAGTTCGCGAGAATTGGATGATGCGATGGCAGCCATGGTGCGCCAGAACGCTCACCACACATCAGCTATCAGTGGGGAGGAGAGCAGAGTAATGTAGCCAATTCATAGAGGGGGATTATTAGGAGGCCATGATTGGTAAGGGCCAATGGGAAATTCGTCCAGGACGCCGGGGTTACACCCCTACTCTTTTCGAGAAACACCCTGGGATTTTTAACGACCACAGAGAGTCAGGACCTCGGTTTTACGTTTTATCCGAAGGACGGCGCCTGTTTAATATAGTGTCCCCCTCACTATACTGGGGCATTAGGACCCACACAGACCGCAGGGTGAGCGCCCCCTGCTGGCCCCACTAACACCTGTTCCAGCAGCAACCTTAGTTTTTCCCAGGAGGTCTCCTATCCAGGTACTGACCAGGCTCACACCTGCTTAGCTTCAGTGGGCTGCCAGTTGTGAGTTGCAGGGTGATATGGCTGCTGGTGCTAATGTAATCTGCAACTGCATGCAGAGTTCACAGATACGTTCCATTTATTGCACAACCGTCTTGAAGTCAAGAGCATTATTTCTATTGGATTAAAAGAGATGTATTCACAAGCCTGCTTGTTTACAGTGTAATAGCACCACTTGGCAGAATATGGCGCTGCTCATACCTGGAGATTTTGACTATTTTGGGTTGTAAATTGGAGGTGTACATTTTACTCTTCTTGCGGTGTGAAAAGCACTCATAAATGCTGATTCTTTCTAACTCAGAAATAAACAAATAGCGTTGCAGTTCCCCTTTAATTCAGATTGCTCCAGCAAAATGCCCTGCTGTATGGGTGACCCTTGCAAAAATATGCATACCATTGCACAGTTTTCAGTTTTTGGCGCTTAAAAACCTGCTGTCGTTATACTTAGAGGTTATTAATAAAGCAATTAATATCTGGTCCGTACACAACCTACTCCACATAGAGAAAGAAAAAGCAATGCTTTGGCTGTTGAGCCTTCTTCACACTGTGCTGTGTTTCTTCTTTCTTCTTTCTTCCTTCAGCTCAGAATGCAGCTTTATGTGCTCCTTTGCAGCCGATGCATGCTAAGCCAGCTTGCCCATTCAAAAGGCTTTGCGGTCAGACAAGACAAAATTGGAACTGTTTGGTCTAATTGCAAAGCATTATGGCTGACACAGACCCAACATAGAGCATCACTCAGTCAGCACATTTTCTGCTGTCAAGCATGGTGGTGGCAGCGGTATGTTCTAGTTCAGCTTCTCATCAGCAGAGACTGGGAAACTTGTCAAGGCTAATGGAAACATAGATGGAGCAAAGGATAGGCCAATCTAAAAGGAAAACCTGAAGCCCTAAAACTGGGGCAACATTTAACCTTTCATACACCGGATACACTGCAGTGGCTTAAGAATAAGGTGGTGGATCTCTTGGAGTGGTCCAGTCTGAGTC